GTATGTCACATGTCGATCTTCCTCAATCAGCTTATGCACAGCATCAAAGTTTTCTTGGGTGACTGCAGTTTTTGGACGACCTTGACGGGGATCATCGCTGAGCTTGACACGTCCACGTTGAAATTCAGCAAACCAGCGATAAATTGTGGTTTTGGATGGGGCTTCATCACCAAATGTAGAAATCATCCGGTCAACACACGTTTTTGTGTTAAACCACTTCGAAAGTCATAATAAATCATCGCTCTTGAATTTTCTCGAGTCAATTCCATTTTCTCAACGACTAAACAAGTTTGACAAAACTTTGTGACAAGACCGAGAATCTTTTTTTAAATAAATAAATGGTATTCGATTTTTAAAACCAAGGAGTTTTCATTTAAAAGGATTTTAGTATGACAGGAACAGTGGAAATATTCCATTCCCGATACTTTTAGTGCAGCCTAGTAGGTAGTGTGCGACAGAGATAACGCTCTACGAAGCCGAAATTAGCTGATTGTCTCTTTTCAAAGGTCGATTTGCAATATTTGTCGCCGGGTAGGTACTGTAGATACGCAGTAGTGGACAAAAGTTATGAAGATTTAAAAAAATTGATTTTGGCAGTCGGTTTTAACATTATTACACAATGTACCTCGATATTAACAAAGTTCCAATTCACGAATGTTATGTAGGTTAATGTATATTAATAATGATTAGGATGTATCCTAACTGGTTCAGCTAAAAAAACAAGGACAGCAGTTTTTTTCAGTCTTTGAAATTATTATTTGTGACAAAATTTTATAACATAACTATTATTGATCGAAGTATATTAGACAGAAAAGAATTAAACTTACGCATGACACCGTTTATAATTAGTTGAACACTCGCGCGGGGCTACGGCACATTTTATAAAAGTTACACTAATACAAAATAAGCACTATTAAATAAAAGTAAAATACGATAAAACACAAATACGAAGGAAAAACGTACATATATCATATACCGAAAAACGGCGCGTAAATCGGTAAACGTGAATCAGATCAAGTCTGACATTAACTTGTTGTTTTTATTATTCGCTCGAGAGAGCAGGTAAAGGAACTGAGCTATACAGCCTTGTCTTTTTTATATTTGAATAAATAGAATTTTGAAGTGTAAAGGCCGGAACCAAGTCTTATTTTTCTTCTTTCCGTCTCTTCATAATCCATACAGGCCGAAGCCAAGTCTTATTTTCTTTAATTCTTCATATTTTCAAAAACCACAAAGGCTAAATCCAAATTTGGCTATCCTTGGCTAAAGCCAAGTCTTCTTTATATTATAGTCTTTATAAGTTTCAATCCATATAGATTTATCAGTCCAGTTTCAAGGTTCCTACGCTTTTTTTTCTTTTCTTCACAATATGCTGATGCGTCACATTGCGAAGCCCTTGGGAGATTTTGACGACAGCTCAACCCAGCGCATTGTTGATGACGATAGCCACTCAAGTTCATAAGGCGCCTAAGTGATCAAAATAACTTGAGGTTTATATCGTCATCAAAGCACTTCTTTCTCTAATAATTCACACGCACAGACAATTATTTCACAAAATCACATCACTTTTACGAATTAAAATCCACTTCAAACCATTATTCAAGCGACAAAACGGGAGCAACAGTCCGTCGTCGGCCAAGTTCCCGCCAAAACTCCTCTGACATTGACACTTTGACTGTTTCGATGCTTGACGGGCGGATTCAGCGTTGCAAGTACTAAAGTAAGATAAACCTATCCTATAATGTAACGCTACATGTTTAAGCTGTTGCTGTATTAAACAAATAAATAAAATCCTATCCTTTAATGTATTTTGATTATTTTGATGTATTAATTAATTAATTGAAGGCTTTTTTATACATAATAAATCATAAATAAAGTATTTTTATGAGTTGAGCTATTGTTTTTCCCTACTCTGATCTTTCTAAGTATTATAAGGCCACATTAAAGGTGCTATAGAGTGACTTCAAAGAGAAGAAATCACTTCAAATACTTTTAAACTTGATTATTTTTAACAGCTGCTATGAAATGTTAATAGTTATTCAAAATTCTTTCTTTATTTTATTTAAATGAATAGCAATAGTCTTATTATTGTACAGATTGGGACACATTTTGGCCATCTTAGTGGAAAAAAATTAATGCAACTTCTCTATAACAATGTCCTCCAGACCGAGCTGCGCAACACAGAATTATACTTTTAATATCCGAATGTATGCTCAAGCACAGGTGCACTATGTTTTGTCTTATTTTCTTATTTCGATAGGACGATAATCCTACACGACCGGAGAGAGATCAGGCCCAGGACTGACGTTATTACGTGCTTTCCGAGTACACGAACAACTTCCTATCTCCGGCTTGCTACTGAAAATTTCTTGTTGGATAAACCCGATAACTGATGTTGACTCGATCCAGGATTCGAAACCGAGATCTGAAGACCATCAGTCGCTTCAACAAATAAAACTAAATCGACTCGGGTGTTTCACCGCTGACAGTTTCTGTTTTTATGAATAAATGAAGGGCAACAAACTTTTGCGGCCTTACTCATAAAATTAACGTAAGTTTTAAACGTATGGTAGTGAAAGTTGGGTGTGGCAGAAGAAGCACGAGAGTAGAATAAACGCAGTAGAAATGCGGTCGTTAAGGAGTATGTTAGGGCTGAATCTAAATGACAAGGTGAGAAATTGTGTCATAAGAGAAGAGTGTGGTTTGCAAGATGATGTTGTGACCAGGATTAAGAAAGGAATGCTTCGGTGGTTTGGTCATGTGGAAAGAATGAATGAGGAAAGAGTGACAAAGAAAATTTATGTTGCAGAAGCGAATGGCAGTCGGAAAAAGACGTCCTAGGCGAAAATTTATCGACCAAATTAACGATTTATTGAAAACGGACCAAATTAGGAATACCCTTAACCAACAGTATGTATGCGTAGGTATATGGACGTGAAGGAGGCGAGAGAAGTGGGCCAGGATCATGCCAAATGGAAGTCTGTAGTCTCTGCCTACCCCTCCGGGTAACAGGCGTGAGTGTATTTGTTATGTTATGTTATGTTAAAACGTCTTAAGTTTCTTTCTCTCTTTTTACTTTTTGACAATAGAAGAAGAAAGGTATAGACACAATTAGTAGGTACTTAATTTGACCGTGTAGAGCTGATTTTTTTTATAGAAGAGTGGGCAAATGTGCATGCGGCTCACTTGATGGTAAGAGTTTACCGCCGCCCATGAACTACTTACAACATCAGGGGAATCGCAGGTGTGTTTTAGAAAGGAGTAAGCTCTTTTCTTGAATGTCCCTAAGTCGAATCAGCCAGAAAAAATCGATGGTAGTAGTCAATTCCACAAGGAAGTTGTGCGAGGAAGAAAACTTCTTTTAAATCGCACTGTGGTGAAACGCCAGTCATCCAGATGGTATGGATGTTATCGCGAGTTTTGTCGCGGTGTGGGGTGGTGAAATAGTGCGACTGGAATTAACCCGAACAATTATTCAGAGCAACGCCGTGTTAATTGCAATAAAATACGCAAAGAGATGCAACATCTCTTCGCGGTGCCAATGAGTCAAGCCGATCGGCAAGAGCTCAATCGTCGAAGATTCGAACGACTCTTCAAGTTGCAAGCGGTGTGCCGGCATGAAATACTATTCCGCTCTGCTGAGTACGCCAAACTTTTTGGAGGCCAATTTGGCCTTCTCTTCCAGGTGGCAACGAAACTGCACGTCACTCGATATGTAGGCGCCGAGGATTCCGATACTAGCTAAGGCAACAAGGGGGGCGCCTTGAAACTGAGGAGATATGACGAAGGAGTTCTTTTTAGCGTTAAACGCGCAAACTTGTGTCTTTTGGGGGTTGAACTGGACTCTAAGACCATTTAACTCTTATTTTGGTGGAATGGTCTAAGAATGGACTAGATTTAGACCCCCAGTTCGAGACTTTGTTCAACTAAGTTTCGACTTCAGACACAAGTTTATCTCGGAACTCGGCGACGTTTTCCCGAGAAATATTAGTACGACCGGTGTATAAAATATCACTAGTGCTATCGTGCGCATAGCAATGAATGGTACCGGTTTGCAACATATCATTTATATGCAGAAGAAACAGCGTTGGTGATAGCACGAAGCCTTGTGGACGCTGGTGCGTTAATTGGCTTGTAATCGAAGCATGCACAATCTACTACAACCTTGACGCTCCGATATGCAAGAAAACTGGTGATCTAATCGCATAGTTTAACGGGGTGCCCATAGGAAGGAAACTTCGTAAGAAGTGTAAATAAAAGAATTTAGTATTACTGGTTTAAAAATATCTTAAATAGTAGCTTTTTTGAAGAATAGTTATTTTAATACACATTTTTTTCGGTTCTAATTTATTTGGAATGCTTCTATGGCGACAGAAAGGTAGACACGCATATAATTACCTAATTTAACTTCTTATTATTCTAGTTCAATTAATTATAAATAATAGGAAATCGACTTATATTTCTTCATCATCATCATCATCATCACCATTACAGCCCTTCACAAGTCTCCTACTGAACATAGGCGTCCTCCAAGAAATGCCACAAAGCACAGTCCTGAGCCATCTGCGTCTATTAGCTCCCTGCATGTCTTACCAGATCGTCACTTCATCTAGTGGGGCCGCTCTACACCTTACTTCCCTTTCTTCTCCATTGGTAGACTTATATTTGTCTAAAGTAAATGAATACTTTCACTCGTAAATCCTAATACAGTGCCTATGTTATTATTTATGAACCTCACTATTGGATTTGAATACCAAATCAACAAGAGCAACATACATCCCAGATTTTACGATACAATGCAAGATTTCCGAAGCGGCAACGAAATAAAAACAATTTTATTTGCTCTCTACATGAAACAGAAACAATGGTAAGTCGGCACTATAAATATTAGATAGACTCTGACGTTCGATGAGAAACAAAATCGCGTTGGTTCAGACAAAGCACCTTAAATATTGATATAAAAATTTACATTGTTATTATAGACATTTTTGTTACAAATCATGGACGTTAGTGCATCGAACGAGCAAACAAACGATGTAGAAGTTATGAGGAAAATGGAAGACGAGCATTTGCATCTTCAGAGACAAGTAAGTAATTATTTCACTTGTTGTAGAGCTTAGCTTTCTTATATCAAAACTCAGTAAGTGACACAAAAACAATTTTTATTTAAAAATCTGACTGACGTAGTAATTGTACCGCAGAAAGATAAAACAACTATATTCAAAAAAATTGCACGAGCTTGAAACAGCAGTATAATGCATTCTCTGGCCTTCGATTCTTTGCACTCGCCATACGAAATGTGTCGTATGGTGAGTGTAGACAACCAGAGACCCTTTTCATGGGAAATGAGGCGTTCCATCTTAGTCCTCAGGGGTGACAATGCATCTGCATTTTGATTCATTATCGAGGATGGATGTAAGTGTATAGGATAACAAAGGCCATCTAAAAATATACTGGTGATCAAGTGGTCTCACGTTCGAATACCTGTCAAAAAGTGGAAGGAATTGTGAACAATGAAGAATGTTTCATCCGAATACCTCGGAAAGCACCTTGAGCTAATGGTCCTGCTGTCGTGTCAGATCGCTGTCCTATTGGACTATAAGAGTGAAGGAATAGAGACTGCACCTGTACTTGCGCATACACTCAACCACTTTTACCTTTCTTGCGTTGGTATATGATGTCTCCGTTGAGACTATCCGCCGTGGTAAAAATTCGGTTGGGAGGACACTACGTTTATGATTTGTTTTTTGTTTTTTGCAGTTTCGCATGATGCAAACTGACAGAACAAATCGTGTCTTGGGAGTCCACCCAATGTTCAGAAGACAAGACAACCCACTAAGGACGTTAAAGGGAGAATATTTAAATGTTGCGAAGGACTTAAAAGTGCGTATTTTCTTCTTCTTTATGAACTTTTGTCTGAAATATAGTTTTATTCTTATTATTATCTATTATTTATGTTGTTTACAGTTCTCTGCTAGACATGGACATCCGTTTCGTCAGTAATGCATTCATGGAGCAATGTATACGATATTACAACGAAGAAATTTTGTACGTGGTATAGCCACACTGCAGCTATATTATAGTTGTAGTACGAAAGGGTCGGCTTGACCGGGGAAGGAACATGCTCTCACAGAATACCAGCGTGAAATAGCAGCTTGATTCTGCTGTGTTTCGTATAGTGAGTGTAGAGAACCGGAGACCCATTTTACTGGAATTGAGGCATTACATCTTAGTCCTCAGGGGTGACAACATATTAGCATTTTGATTCTTAATGGAGGTTAAATGTCTATGGGTCACAGGATCCACTTACCATCAGGTGGACTGTGTCAAGCACACATACATTTGTCGCCCTAATTCTATAAAAAAATAAGTAACCCGAAAATATGCAAGGTCTCTCTATTACCAAGTTTAAATATTTTATTAAACGAACACGGTTTAATGGGGCTTATTATAAAATGAACAAATACAAGGTTTATAACAACCCCAGGAATAAGATGGTCGTTTTCAAGCTGTTTCTTATATATGTTATATTATATATCTTATAAAAGTTTTGTAAGTAATTTGTATACATTCTAAAATTTTACTTTAAAAATAAAAATTCGGGTCTATTTCTTGTTGGTTCTTCCCAGTACAGAAGTTTTTTCCAAACTAGTGGTATATGTGAAAAAATTACTTTCAATAAAAATTAATTGTAACTACTAAAACTACTATTAATTGTAACTTTTATTGTAACTTATATTGAATAAAAATTACTCTTTTCCATTCTCAGAATTTGTTGTAATCGCTGCCCTTGGCAGGTAAACTGACGATCGAATCACACTATATCGCAATTTTGGACGCTGTTCTTCGCTGGTCTAGATCTTTATAGCTTGCATTTTTTATAGGATATGGTGACAATCTAGCACACCTTCCACCTGATGGTAAGGTAATTAGTTGCTGAGGTCCATAGACATCTACATCTGTCCTCTTTGTCGTGGTCTTTTTGATTCCCCCCCTCCACAGTCGACTATCACAACACCCGTGGGATGAATTGGGAGGCCACCACAAATACTGAATTATAATAACATTTTCAGTGGCGGTTTGTACCGTGTAGTGGCGGAGTAAGAATATTCTGTACCTCATATTTTTTTCCTAATAACGACAAAAACTGACAAAAAACAAAAAAGTCGAGCCGTGGTAGCTCAGATGGCTTGCGCTCGCTGTAAATTTCACAGTACGCGAGCAAACCGAGTTCGATCCCCGCCGGGACCAATGAAATTGTTATTTGCAATTTTAAGTGCCGATTTACCACGTACTCGGCGGTGAAATAAAACATCGTGAGGAAACCTGCATGACTGAGAAATAAGAAAAATATTTCGAAGACATGTGAAGTTCGCCAACACGCATTGGGGCAGCGCGGTGGACAATTCCTTGCCCTAAAACCCTCTCAGAAATAAGTGGAGGCTTGTGCCCAGCAGTGGGACTTATATAGGCTGTAACTTTACAAAAATTCCGATTGCCAACCCTTTTGTAAAGCATGGCAATTATGGTAAATAACCCCTCTACGAAGCAATCTTTAGGGGAGGCTTATGTTTAGCAGTGGACTTTAATACGCTGTGACTGTAATAACATTTGAAGACTTAGTTTTTGGTACTGATGGTAAGTGGCTACGAAGTTCATGGACACCTGCGGCCAAGTTCAAACAAAGAAAGCTTCAGAAAGACCTTTGACAACTTAGAACTAAGAATGTCCCACAGCTTATCATTATACTAGTTGTAGAACCAGAGAACAAATGTGATCTCTGACGTATACGCAAACCCCAGAAGAGAAATCAGTCTGTGGTTTTTCAAGAGATCGCTGTCACTTGTGTCGAAGAACAAGACCACTGCACTTCTTTTCCACGTCTCCGGAGTAGTGCCACCATGAAGGACGGAATCAAAGAGCTTCTGAAGGAATTTCACCCTTCTTTTTTTCACTTTCAGGTTTTTCCACCCGCTTGTCGCTCAATACTGTTACGAGCTTGAGGTTCGTAACAATAAAAACTGCCGATTGAATTACCAAAATTAACACTTTAATTCACTTTACACTAATTAAAATTTAAAACACTAAGAATTAATCACACTGATTCACTTTATTTCGCTCCGAAGCTTCGCTTGTCTCGCCAAATTCAATACTTCCCCGATCGCATCTTGCAGCGCCTATAAATACAAATTAGCACCGAAACATCCAGAATATTCAAGTAAACACGCGCAAGGGGCCGAGAGTTCGAGTGTCGACTTCTAGAAGCTTAGTTCTTCGTTCCGAGACTAGATGGCGGTGTCGGTTGAAAGATTACAGATGTCATTTTCTGGAAAGCTCCCCTCGCTCTCGTCCCTGACACCAGATGGCGCTAGTGCCGGATACATGACGTCGACTTATTCGCGCAACAATACAATACTGTACTTAATTACTAAAACTAAAAACTTAAATTATCATATATTTCTATACTCCTCACGGTATTTTGCCAAGAACGCTAGACCCCGTTTCCTCGCTGAATGGCTATACTTAGCCTTTGAGCGAGATAAGAAAAAGCCCTCTCATCACTGATGGCATGTTAGTATACGCGTAAATGCAAGAAATCATGATATTCATTTAATTATACCACAGGTGGCAAGATCAGGGACAAATAAAAAGAGGGAAAAAAGAACGAAAAAAGAAGTGTTACAAGCAATTTTGTTCCGTGAGAAGACAGATACACAATGTGAAGGTTAGAAGTATACGTACTTCAGCTAGTATGAAAGAGTTATAGTAGGAATATTATCAAATTTTGACTGCCTCAGTGATCTAGTGGTCGCATACGCGATTCTTGATCATGATATCCCTGTTCTCTTCCCGGGATTCGGATTCCGAGTCAGACCAAAAATCAGCTACTGGGTTGTTCTACCTAGAACTTCTCAGTAGCAGCCCGGAGTCAGGAAGTTGGTGGTCTTTCACCCCTGAGCATCAAAAACACATAAAGCCAATGGTCCCGCGCCTGGTCTCCCTCCAGTCGTGTCGAATTATCATTGAACTATGAGAGTAGGGGAATAGAGAGACACTATAATCCTATCCTGCGTAATCTCCGTTGAGATGGGCCACCGTGACCGAAATTCGATCTGGAAGACATTATTAATATTATCAAATTGACGAATACTTGGAGCATAAGGAAGTGTGGAAATAAAAGAAGTTCAGGGCTAATGATCGGCAGGTACAATAAATGAAAACCAACTTCAAAGACTAAATAGAATAAAATAATTACCTTCTGATGATAGTATGTGGAAATATTTTATTATTTTTAAATCTTGAATTCGATATTTATTTTTTTTAACGTTGTCAGTAGACTAAAAAGGTTGGGTTATGTTTTATACGTAAGAAATATATAGATACAGTCCCTTTGGTAGTAAGTGGATGCTGTGGCCTTTAGACATCTACACCTGTTACATCTACACCTATTTTGCAGTTTCATTTTGTCTATTGTTACAAAAGATATTGTTTATACAGAACAACATCTTTCACCTGATGGTAAGTGGATGCTGTGGCCAATTGACATTTATCCTTGTTTAAGAATCCACATGCAGATGCATTATGACCCCCGAGGCCTAATATGTAACTCGTTTCCAGTAAAAAGCGTCTCCAGTTCTCTACACTCATTATACGAAACACGAATACAGCTTAAAATATCGGTATTATACTTATAATGCTGCTATTTTACGCTGGTATAGCATGAGAGCGTAGTATTCGCCGGTCTTTCCGATCCATTCGTGCTACAACTATAGTATAGCTGCAGCATGACTGCCGCATAAAAAACTAATAATAGTTCAAATTAACAAATAAATGTTTTATTGTAATGACTTAAATATAATGACTATTTCAGATGGACTCATTTTAATGGATCAGCTGGATGAACTATTACAAAGAAATCACAAACAAACATTGCAACTCAAGAATCTCGTCAACGCTTCTATGGGAAAAGTAAAAATTATTAGCAAAGTGGTTTCTTAGTGGTTAGATCAGTGTATGGAGTAGCTCGCAGAGTTGTAGAAAGAAATTGGCAAACACAATGAAGATAGTCACGTATATCTTCTCTCTCTCTCTCTTTCAGTCTCTCTCTCTCTCTCTCTCTCTCTTCCCCCAGACACATTTATGCGTACGCGGTTACAGTGACTTCGTCATTTTTTAATACAAAACGTAACATCCACATTAGGACTTTCTCCTGTATCGTGAAGGCATTTTACAAACATTAATTTTTACAAGGACAAACATCCAGACCTGGAACAATTATTTATACATCATACAAATACTTATTCGATTATAAGGTTAAGGATTCGAACCCGCGGCCCTCTGCCCGCAACCTCATTGCTACGCCACTGTCCCACGGATCCGTCATGCTGCTATTTCCTCTCTTCCTCTTCCCCTAGACCTCTGAAAAGTACGACGACTACGTGGCGCAGTGGCTTAACAATGAGTGGCTGTGCTGGGGGTCGCGGGTTCGAATCCCGCACGGAACAAATATTTGTATGGCCTACAAATAGTTGTTCCGGGTCTGGATGTTTGTCCTTGTGCAATTTACGTTTGTAAACTGCCTCCGCGATACAGGAGAAAATCCTAGTGTAGGGGTAACGTTTTTTAAAATAAAAAAAATTAAAAAAGACATGTTTATAACATATCTGTTTCTTTCTTTGTGGATTAAAATATAGGAGTATATAAACGAAGTGTTATTCAAACAGCCGCTTCTAATTCACCTCTGTAGTCTAACATCTATTATGTAGAAATCATTTAATTCTTTTTAATTTTTTAAGTCAATTTTTATTTTATTTGTTTTTTTACCTACCTTTTAAGAAGAACAAAAAGATTTAGTTATATTATACACGTAATAACTATATAGCAGTCCAGGTAATAGTAAATGGATACTGTGGCCTACAGACTTCTACACCTGTTACAGCTCTATACTAGCTCCATATTAGCTCCATAAGAGCCATATTACGTCTATGACCTACACAAATTATTTACACATAGTATGACGTAAAAGGTAAGGACAAGACGCTGAACTTACCTGGGTTCAGAACAGTGCTCTGTAGTAATATCTAGTGGAGAACTTCTACGTTCAACCTTAGTCTCATGGTGAGTTGTAATGAGTCTATGAGTACACAGTCCACCTGATGGTAAATGAATGCTGCGGCACATAAACATCTACATGTATCTTCAATTAATAATCAAAATGCAGATTCATTGTCACCTTTGAGAACTAAGATGGAATGCCTCGTTTCCAGTGACAAGGGTCTCCGGTTCTCTATACTCACCATAAGAAATACAGTAAACATTAGCTGGTATTTTACGCTGGTATTCTGTGAGAACGTAGTCCTTCCTACTCCGGTTGAGTCGACCCATTCCTGCTACAACTATTTAGCTACAGCTTGGCTCTACCACGTAAACTATATGAGCTTAAGTAGATTTTATGAGCTCAATATTATCTCGACATGTCAGATTAAATTATATAAGAGCAATGGTTGAATCCGCGGGTTTATTACAACAAGTAACCAGGGTTCGATCCCCAAGACACCAATGAAATTGTTAATTGTAATTTTAAAAGTTTATTAACCTGTAAACAATAACATTGTGAGGAAAGATGCATGTTTAAAAAATGAATTAAAATATTTTGAAGACGTGAAGCCTGCCAACATGCCTTTGGGAAACTCGGAGAACACATCCCCGCCCTAAAACCCTGTCAGAATTGAGAGGAGGTTACATTATGAGATGTGACGAATAGGGACTTTTCCTTTTACCAAATGAAATAAATTATTTCGTACCAAAGTAATTTGATGGCTCGATAGTGCAGTAAATAGAATTTAACTTCGACAAAGAGTAGTGAAGAGAGTTTGACTGCGACGATCAGGTTCCATTCTTCCTCGGTACAAGTATTTCTACCATCAAATATTCCTATCGTATTGTGAGGATCATCACATACGTCGGAAGGATTGACAATTCAGCACCAGACGTCCCGCACCTTTCAAACTGTTGGACGGGGCCTAGATATTTCTCGCTTGAACGAGATGGTATACAACCATCTATCGGAAGCCGTCACACATCGCATTGTCGCCTCTTTCGGCACCCATGAAATTAAAAGACATGATAGAATTCTTATCACGCGGCGAGTTATTTGCTCTGCCCATAATCACGAAGATACGAGCACACAGTCCACCTGATGGTAAGTGGTTGCTGTGGCCCATAGACATCCACATCTATCCTTGATTACGAATCAAAATGCAGATGCATTGTCATGCGTGAGGACTAAGATAGAAAAAGGGTCTCCGGTTCACTATACTCACCATACAAAACACAGTAGCATTAAGCTACTATTTTACGCTGGTATTCAGTGAGAGCGTGGTGCATCCCCGGCCGAGCCGACCCATTCGTGCTGCAAATATATTACTAATATGGCTGCAGCATGGTTCTATCACGTAGAAATGATTCTTTTTTATAAAATAGGTTATACTTTCGGATAATCTCGTATGGATCTGAGATGTGGTCCTTCACTGTTGGCCGTATGAGGACGCTCAAGGTCGCTCAGCGAGCTATGGAGAGGGCTATGCTCGGGGTTTCTCTGCGTAATAAACTTAGAATAATAATAATAATAATATCATTTATTCGCTTAAACATGGTACATCAGAGGTGACAAATATTGCATATTGTATACAACATTAAAAATTACCATTCGATGTCAAAAAATTACAATTATTATACAACATAACTAAAGAAGCTATATTATCATTTATCTAATGTTTTAATATTCAAATATAGATTATTTGCGACTTCTAAAATATATAATCTACTAAATTTACTTAATCTATGAAGCACCAAGCTTAAATCGTTTAATAGTTTGATTGGGTTAGAATTATTCTCACTCGTCACAATCACAATCTTGTCGTCATGGTCTAAGTTATATGATTAGAGTAGTCCAAAGAATCTGCACAAAGGGATTGTGGTTTTATAAATAGCATATTTTTGTACTTATTATCACCCATAATTTGTCGATCCATGAGTAGTTTCGTCGCAAGTCCTGTCGCTTGTTCATCACCCATTATACAATTTTTTTTTGTTCTAATGTAGCATGTATTGATTGAGTTTCAATTTTCTGTTCTTTGAGTTGTTTTACCGACCGTTTACTTTCCCGTGTTTCTGTACTTCCATCTAGCGGATATTTGTGGAAACTCAATTGAGAATCAGTTTGCCCATCTAACAATTTTGATTTTGTCGTAATCAATATGCCCTGCTCGTTTTCTTTGCTTGAATCAATACTTAATATAGAACTTTTCCTATTTTTTTTTCTGTACCGAATTGACCGATTTTTGAGACCCGTAAAAAAGATTATTACATGTATCTCTTAGTCGAGAAATCGTCTTTTCATATTCCATATTCTTTTTTTAAGTGAACTAGTCTTAAGCAATAGATTCTCTATTTTCAAATTAGCGCTAGCGAGTATGCTTTTAGTTCTTTCCAATTCTTCCTTTATGATTTCCAGTTCGAAATTGAATGGGGTTGAAATATCAGATAAACTCTTTATGTCATATTCCAAATCAGATGAAGTCAATGAGGTGTTCATGTGTGAGCTAGTACATGTTTGATGTAAGTTTATTTAGATCTTATCGTCACATTTTTTCATATTTGTGCTCATCAGTATTTTTCTCGGTAGTTACTTGTACTGCTATTTTGTTTTTCGTGAACACAATTAATCTCATTTCTGTTTTCTCTCCTTAAAATTAATGCTAAATCTTTTAAAGGAAACATTGGTACAGTCTAGTTTAAATAATTCACACCTTTAATTTTTTTATTACATTTGAAACAATATTTCCTCTTTAGATGCAGAGTTAGTTTTAATTTTTTACACCGCCCTCTAATGTTGCAGTAACTAAAACTGTATAAACTGTAAATATTATGTTATGAGAGTCAATAGCAGTAACCTACTTTTTCAATAGATGACGCTATTGTAATAAATGATAGCAATTTTAGCACCCTAATCAATTTGAAATATTCAACCACCACTTTTAAAAGTTTTTTCTGTTTCTTTTCACTTATTTATTAATTTGTTTAATATTTGAATGTTACTTGTTTGAAACACTAGTCACACAAAGTTTTTGCACATTTTTATTGAGCTTTTATACTATAATTTTAAAAAATTATCATAAAATCACCGTCTGTATTTCACTTATTGCATTTATTATTATGATAATTAAGTCTCGTACTATTGAGATAACACTTGCAGTTGTAGTCCACATACACACAAAGAACACAAACATAAAAAACACTATTTTTAATATAATATTTTTACGGAATTTATAAACACAAGGACGATGTTTTCATAGGCCGTGCAGCGCCCTCTCGCGGAATGATAGAAATGAGGATACCCCACTGACCTCTATATATTATACAAGTATGTATATATAGAGGACACACAAAATTTAATTAAAATCCAGTCGTTTAGGAGTTCAATGACATATACACGTACAGAATAATATATATATATATATATATATATATATATATATATATATATATAATGATAAAGGTGATATAAACGAAGTAGATATGCGCATTTTGTAGTAATCATTCGTATTACAGCTGGAAGAAAGACGCAGTGCGAGTGAATATCGTCTTATGGCAACCGAGAATAAGCTGGAGACAGCTGTACTCAGATTCAATGCCATACAATGCGAGAACAAAAAGATCCGAGAAGAAATTGAGCATATGCTTAAGGATAGGTTAAGCATTTCTTTAATTATTTCTGACACAAGTACGGGGTAACAAACGAGCACATTTTCCACTTGATGGTAAATGGACAGCGTGGTTCACAGACAATGCAAATGCATTATCATCCCTGATAACTAAGTTGGAATACCACGTCACCTCTCACGTTGCCTCGTTAGTCTTTCGGTTGTAGTAGTGCGACTGCTGATCATGAGGTCTAGGGTTCGAATCCCGGGTTGGGTCAAAAAAAATCAGTTATT